TACAGACACATACCCCGTACAACTGCCTTTTTAACTAATTTTTCAAAACCTTGCATTGTTCATAACCCGCCGATTTTCGTGCTTTCTTCGTCACTTTTGCACTGTTCTGCAACACAACTTCCATTATTTCGATTAAGCTGGATGCCTCAGAATATCGTAAACTGTGCCTTTAATCAGGGAAAGCCAAGTGAGTGAAATTATAACAATACTGCTTCAAGGGGATGCGTATTTCTACAATCTGCCTTCTACTTTGCTCCATCATCACGCTGTCTCTTGGAAAAGGTCTTGAATGTGCTGTGTGCCAACAATTCGTGACAGGTCTCGATAAGGAAGAGCTCAAAGAGGACAAAAATTTGAAGAAGGTTAGTCACTATTACCTGCTTCCTTACTGGTTCATGGTTACTCACTTCAGAAGGCTGAACATGACTGTAGACTGATTCTCGATATGCCCGTAATTGACGACTACTGTATCAAACTGGTCGACAAGGAATTCGACAACATCGCCCAAATGATTCTCAATGACGAAAAACCAGATGTCATCTGCAAAAAGATCGATATGTGTTAAGAAACAAATCAATTGGATCAATGGAACTCTCTGAACCTGTACCTTTCCCACGCTTACCGCTACCTCAATGTAGCACACTTGATAGACGAAAACTGAGTAAAATAAATATTTATCAACTTCCACACTTGACTCGGATGAAGTAATCACGAACGATTTGCTAAACACTAGAAAATCACATACGAAAGCTCCATCCTCACATAAATCTACTAGTTATAGTTTATAAAATGTAGACTGTGTACGACACTCATGTTACCTATAAGAACGCATTGAACAGTTGTAAACAAAAACTCAGTACGTACGTTCACCCGCACCATTCAATAGCAACGCGACAGAACAATATTAGACGAAGAAAAAAACGTATGAGATATCACAAAGAATGGAGAAGACAACAGTTAAAACATGCTGGTAATGATAGACCCGTATAGAATCAATTCAACGCCGAAATTACAAACTGCAATCAGTCCGCGCTACATTGTACCTAGCAGATGCCTCTACGAATACGGCACGGCTACCGGGAAGTTGATGAGAGCACGGGAGGTCGGGCGAGAGGCGAATTCCGATACTCGTCCTGTAACGGACTGCGGTACTCGGTCGGAGCATCGTCACGAGGAAAATGACGGTCCTAAAAATGCACTTTTTAAGAAAACTCAAAGAAAACGAAGAGAACAGCTTTGCAAAAGCTATAATTCAGGCGAAAAGAAGTCCAGTTAACAAACGGTAAACTTTACAGTAAGGCTTAGCTCACATAATTTCGGGGTATCCTTACCCTTAAAGGAGCAGTAATTAATGGATGGACGAGAATATGACGACGAATTTGCACGGAATGGGTATTTGGACGAGGTATTTCCTAACGTCCATGCCACTGCGAACAGCTGGCCACAATAAGCTGCCTGCGTGCGATGCGTGGGTCACGGTGCGAATGGTGCTCCCCTATAGCTTATATAAGTGTGGCGCGATTCACGCATCAGCATAACGAAGTCATTGGCTGCTTTCATAGTCCGCCGGCCGGCCGGCGGACTATGAAAGCAGCCATTTCGCGTGAAGGGCGGGCCTACGGCGGCGCGGTGCCGTGGACGAGACGCGCTATAGTATCATGCTGGCTTACCGTCATTGTGGAAGAAATGGTAACTTATAAAATACAAGTGAAAAATGACCAACTATGCAGGTGGACTGCGTTCATTAGGATCTAATTAGGTTTTGAAGTTTATTTATTTATTGTTTATTACAATAATAAATAAATATTTGACTATTATTTAATATTTATCTATAAATTATTATAATAAATTACTCTTTCTTCGAACGTTTGTGAAGTGAATTGTTGACCTATGGAGTGCCTTAAACTCGAAAGGGCTTCATTGCCATAGTAAAGAGGTTTGCCCTTCTTCATGGTAAAGCCATGGACTAGTGCACAACTCGTTTAGTCCATCTCAATTGAAGAGTAGTGAAGCGATCGCATCGAAACTCGTACGGGACGGAACATTTACCCAGATCTAGATGGGCGCGGCAAACCGTGCGGCGAAACTGGTGGTGATTAAATGACTCTGGCGCCTATCATTGGAGCACAAATTTGAAGTGGGATAGATAAGTAGCATCAGCTGGCCCTACATATCCAATCTACTAGAAACCCGTACCCTAATGATAGGCGCCAAGGCCGTTTTAATCACCACGAATTTCGCCGCGCAGTTTGCCGCGTCCATCCAGTTCTGGGTGAATGTACCCACACCCAAACACGTACGCGAACTGCCGCGGGATTCGTCGGGTGCTGCGTGCTCTAAGAGCTCCGATAAGGTCACACGTGAATCGCACGCCCCCCCCCCCCTCCCCCTTATACAATACCGTGAGAGCCCCGCTGCTTTGGATGTTTATGTCGGCTAAGCCGGTTTTGGGGCCATCATTACCCATACCGAGACCGTTTTTGGATCTTTAGCGGTCGCAGATTCACCCATGAGGAAATCTCAGAAACCATTTTTATCGTGAACTGCGCCGCTTAGGATGATAATTATGCTCTGCATGATAGGAAGTAAGTCACCCCTGCGGGAAATGAGGGCGGGGCTATTAGAAATAAGATTCTTTGCGCTATCACAACACGATAACGTACGCCTCTGGCAATTCACAGCCCGACATCCATTAAAGAGAAAAACTTAAGTTTATCGAAATCGCTGCACTCAACTTACCTTTCCATACAGAAAGAATCTAAGAATAACTCACTTTGTGACCTTCATGAGGCTTATATAACCGGTGGTCTTTGAGAGGTTTGTGTTCTTTATGATGATGCTTCTTCTTGTGAAGTTCTTTACTGCCTTTTTTGTCTCTATCTTTGTCCTTCCTTGCCTCTCCATCATGTTTTTGCGGTATTCGGTCTTTCTGCATATTATGATTGTGTTCGCGGTGCTTATGGCGGTGATTCTAGAATAAAGGCTGTAAGTAATAATGGAACAGCATTACCGTTGAAAGCATATAAGACTAAGCCTCTTCATAAGTAAGCACGTTGCTCAAAGCATAAACATTATAGGAAGAACTCTCACCGCTGCGCACAGTTCACGGTACTTTTCCAACATTTCCATTGGTTCCTGGGACACAAATTTTGACAGGAAGATCCACATGTAGTTATACCATTTGCGTACATTTGTCTTTGGTTTTCTGAANGAATGGATATGACCAACTGCACAACAGGAATTACTGACGGATCTGAATGCCTTACTTCTTTAGCAGCTCCTCAATTTGGTCTCTGCAGTTGTCGCCAAGCCTAATAAGATATTTAGCCGCTTCTTTTTCCCCACTAGCTTCTGCTAACTTCTTGATGTACTTTTGTACTGGTCGCATCATCTTTACACATTCTGAAAACCACAGTTGGTTCTCTCTCAGCGTTTTGAACCTTCCTGTAGAATGAGAAAAGATCTGCGTATCTACGTTCTAGAAAGCTGGGCTGAACTAAGAAGAACTACTTAAGCAATTTCGTGCGACATGGAGATTACTATTAGCAGAAAATACTAGTGACAAGCTTATTTATGACACACACCTGAAAATGGGCGATCACTTGTGTCTTCAAGCGCATGACCATATATAGACTTTTCTATGGCTACCAAAGCCAACTGGTCAGCGATTGTTTTGTCTCGAACAGTGCTCTTTGCTTGTTGTGATTGATGGTGAGAATGATGATGGTGATGGTGATGATGATGATGATGATGGTGATGTTCCTTCTCACGACGTTTCTAAAGCAAAGAGAACTAGATTGTAAACTAACAAGCTCGTATGCTGTTAGGTTAAATTAAATAATCTAGACTGTGAGCTCAGTAACTCTTGATTTCGTACCTTTTCTTCTATGGGAGTGGACTTCCCTTGATCATCGTCAGGCGCTTTGCGTTTTCTATTGGTTATATTTGACATGCGCATCGTTTTGATCCCATTACCAGATTTGTCCATCAATTTTAACAAGTAGTCAACTCTCTGCTGGACGTGTCGTGGTTGCGGCTTCCGAACCTGATGAGTACAAAAGCTGTATTAGCGCACTCTTCATCGCCCTTCTAATTCAGTATAAATCTTGAGATGTTTACAATCTCACCGGTTCCACATGAAAGGGTAAATAAGAGTTTCTGATGACTAACTAATTACTCACCTTATCTTTGAGAAAGATCTTATCAGCAAGTCCAAGATCCGGATCCATCTTAATAGCTTCCCAACTTCCAATGCCATACTTATAGACGCCTCGTAACAAAGCACCATCATCCACAGAAGACCATTCAACGTCCCATCCCTGTAACTTGCAATAGTAGTTTCACTCCCATAAAAAATGCTCCAACAAGGTACATTCATAGATGCTACCTTCTGGGCCCGTGCTTTGTGCGGTGGCTTGAAGTCGTCTGCAGCATCACCATTCAGTGCACAGTGTAGCGGTTCCAATTCTCTGTGGAGTTTCCGAATAGCGCGCACATTGACGTCAACGACACCAGCAAATTTGAACCATGGTCCACGCTCCTTCACGTTCTTTTCAGAGTCTCCCTGTGTCTGAAGCAAGTACTTACATCATAGTAACACAATAATGTCTAAACATTCTCCCACTTTCACTTCGTTTTTCATCGCTTCATGATCATGCTCGGCTTTTTCACATCCTTCCAACAGCGCTTCTGCGAGTTTCCTTAATTCCTCTGCACTGTGCTCTTCGAGCTCAGCATCTTGAGCAAGAGCTTCAAGTCTGAAACTCAACGCTCATAAGAAAAAACGCATTAACATCTTTGTCATTGAAACCGGTCTAAACCATTACCCACCTCTGGAGCGGCTGTGCGAATTTTCTGAATGAACGGACGAACCGTTTCACCTCTCCACCCATGAAATCACCGAACGCCTTTTTACGCTTCTTTCTTCCACTATTTTCCGCTTCACCATCGGATGCCGAGGCCTCACCTTCATCTGCCTCTTCTATATCAACTTTCACACGCTGCCTTGGAGCCAGCTCGAGATCAGCAGCCAGCTGAACACATGGAGCATTACAGAGATTTCCTTCTACTAAATAGTTACGAGATTGAATCCTTCTGCAGTGAATTTCTTACTTTTCTTCGTTCCTCCTCTTCCACTTTTTGACGTTCCGCTTCAGGGATAATCGCATCCCACTCAGCGCCAAAATCATCACCGTTCCCCGACGAGGATACTTGATGCTGGGCCGCCGCTGCGACATCCTGTTCCTCGTTGATGGAGAAGTTCGCATATTTAAAAGAGTTCAACAGCTCGCTACCCGTTTCCTATAAGTTTACGTTATTGATGTGTAGAACGCAGCGATGGAAGAAAAGTTTACCTGAGCATCATCAGCGTCCCTTGTCTCTGCCACACTCAGTATACGGTCGATATCAACCTCTGGTTCTTGCTCCTCGCCGTCATCTTCTTTGAACAGATCAGCAGCGCCAAACTTCAAAATGTCGTTTAGTTCTTTTTTATCGAAAGGAACAGATCGGGCACCAGCGGTAGTCGATTTTGAAAGCACCTGAAGAGAAACCATTTGAAATCGCACAGGGAATCTAAAACTACGCCTTCAAAACACGAACAGTTCGCCCTGTAGTGTCCATTCGTTGAATGACAAGGTGATCGAGCACAAGCTTACGCTTAGCCCTCTCTACGATCTCCTCTTCCATCGAGTTACGAGTTACCAAGCGGTATATATTAACCTAAAGAGTTCCCATTTGCAATGTAAAAAAATTGTGGTGAAGCTTTTCTCATAATCATTGTAGTTTGAAAAAATCTCAATGTCAAAACAAGCAAATGAATCTGTCAACCAGATATCGATAGAAGGAACAAAGCTTCAGCTTACCTGACGCGTCTGCCCTATCCGATGAGCCCTGCTCATAGCTTGCAAGTCGTTTTGGGGGTTCCAGTCGGAGTCAAATATGATAACCTGGAGGAAATAAGTATTTCAATTATGGATTGCTTGAAGGAGTAACCGTTCTAATGATAACGAATAGACACCATACCGTATCTGCAGTTGCTAGGTTAATACCAAGTCCTCCTGCTCTGGTGGAAAGGAGAAAGGCAAAGTCGGTGGAGCCCTCCGCATTGTAATGGTCTAGTGCTTGCTTTCGTAAATCAGCTCGCATTGAACCGTCAAGACGCTGAATCGGAACAACTCAATCAGAGCGCGAACAATGCTGCACAGACTCTCAGCACTCCTTACTAATATTCCCTTAAAGTGCATATGGGAAATGAAATGAAACCGAGAAGTACCTGGGCAGGGAATCGCCTCAGCTGTAGATACTCTTGCAAGATATCCAACATCATGACCATTTGGGAGAATATTAGTACACGATGACCAGTATCCTTCAGGCGGCACAGCAGCTTGTCCAATAATATCAGTTTTCCGGATGACTTCAGAAGTTGCTAAAGAGACCACCATCTACAATTGAATTCGAATTTTACTATCTGTCAACACTACCTGTAACCGCGCTTGTGGATCGTTTTCGAAATGATCGTACTGGCGTACAAGGGAAGCGTGATTGCAGCATTTTTTCAGTTCCATAACGAGGTTTACAAAGCCATTAATAGAGCCTTAAATAACAGTTCTCGGTTGCCTAGAACATTTAGATCGATAAAGGTCCGTCGTGATACGTACCTTTTACACCTTTCGACAGCTCACGATAATTTTTCGTCAATATCCATTTATAATATTGTTTTTGCTGGGCAGTCATATCCACTCTCAAAATTTGCTCGAGCTAAAACAAAAGAAGAAGGTCCAGTCATCGAACTACCAACCTCAAAACAAGCTTCTGCAAAATTCTCACCAATGTTGACTTTCGGTGAAACTGCAACTTTCATCCATTCGAATTTAAAAAGAAACTTAAAGAAACTTCAAACTAACCTTCGGTGGTAAACTCTTCTCAACATCCTTCTTGACACGTCTTAGGAGAAACGGCTCCAGTTTTCGATGAAGAGCTGAAATTCCTTTGTGATCCTTGTCGTTATGACCAGCCTCGAACTCGGACCAGCTCGCGAATCTGAAAAGAAGGCTTTGAAAGTCACCAGGAGGGAACAGCATTATTCACTATAAGCTATTTATGTTTTAATGGCATCCACAAATCGTCAGAGATCAATCTGAATTTCAATTTGGTCGCTAAAGCGAATGGGTCCGAAACCGAGCATATGGTTTATTCAACGTTAATTAAGGTGCCTTTGAAGGGGTCTGAGATTGTCCAATCGTTGGATAAAACTGAGAGATAGAAAAGCAAAATATAACTGGAGCCCTCATTTGCATTTACTTCTGACTAGCTCTTCAAACCGGTGATGTGGTACATTCAAAGAAGTCTTCGAAAACCCCAATTTTTCTAACAGACCCTCTCGGAGAAAGTTTTACAACCTGAAAAAANAAAAAAGTAAAATAGTGGATGGAGACACTTTTCAGGGAGAGGTACACCTAATCTACTAGCTCAAAGACACCCAGATAATACAGTACCTCTCAATTGTACTCATTATGTAAAGTACAATACATACTTTTCTGGCATGATAAAATGCAGCAATGCCCAGAGCTCCTTCAATGAGTTTTGCAGAGGAGTGCCGGTGATTAGAAGGCGGTGGTCACAGTTGAACGAAGACAGGCAACTGTACAGCAAGGATTCGTCATTTTTCAAGCGGTGGGCTTCGTCAACAGCCAAGGCTGCCCATTGGAAACTTCCAAGAAATGGCTGAAACGAATTTTGACGACAAATTATCCAACCAGCATGCAAATTAGGATGAAAAATCAACACCGCATTTTCTATAATTCATTCTCAACTCGAGTGTAAAATGTGCTCCACAGTGCTGAAGCATAGTGAGAATTTCCACGACTCTAGTGTCTATTAAAACGAAGGAATATAGCTGGGATGACAAACCTTGTCTTTGAGAAGAATCTCATATGTGGTCAGAACAGCATTGACTTTGATTTTCTTCGTTCCCGCCACATACCATTCGAACTGCCGAATCTAGAAAGTGAGCTGATGATGCATGCTTAAATAGACCACACTATTTGAGAGACATCAATTACTAAATACATACCTGTTCACGCGAGTTCACATCACCCATGTATGTGACAAGATTCATATCTGGAGCCCATTGTGCAAACTCCTTTTGCCACGCCGCCATTGTTGACAACGGCACAACAACAAGAAATGGCCCATAGAGTTCATACTTGTGATAGAGAGCAGCCAGGAAAGCAATTGATTGAATCGTCTTACCCAAACCCATCTCGTCCGCGAGAATACTGCAAAAAAATATAACCACATGTTCAACAAACGGTAGAAATCCGGAAACTCACCATGAATTGTGCTTACACCAAGCGTGCAGCATCCAATTCAAACCTTCAAGCTGATAGTCGCGAAGAGAATAATCCTTGCCTTCAGTTTTGAGGAATGACGGCATCTTTTCGAACTTCACAAACTTGGGCCTCTTACGTAAGACCTTAAAAGATTAATTTGGATTGCCATTACTAGTCCAAAAATATGTAAAGAAGGCTCACCGCTGCATTTTTACTGGGAGCTCGATAGTTCTCTATCCTACGATGGTAAGATTCAATCTTTTCAGGAGGCAAGAGTTTGGCATCTTCCCACGTACAGTCGGAATAAGAAAGCCCACACCATTTCACATAATACTCGGTCGCCTCTACTCCTTCTGCATTTCGATCCCGAGAGACCTGTGACGACTGCCTAATTCTCCCATTACATCAAAGAAAACTTGTAATCTTACCTGATGAGCAACTATTCGTTCAACCTTCAAGTATTCTTCACAAAGCTCTTCGTTCATTACTTGCTCACATTCATAGAATTCTATATATTCTTTGTCTGCTGTACGTTTCCTATAAAGATTTCGAGTCAAAAACGAAGTAACGAAATGAAACTCAACTCACCATTCCTCCATTTCCTTTTGCTTTTTGATAAAATTATATATTTTTTTGGAACCATTTGCACCCATAGCAGCAATTGATGCTTCCGATTCCCATGTGTTATGTAAATGACTCCATCCAACCCATCTAAAATAGCAGAGTATTATTCGTGTCAAAAAGTTATTGGAAATCTACCAACCAACACTTTTTAGTTTGCTAGGAGGGCATTATTTCTAATCTGATCTCTTCGACATTTAATTCAAAATCATCAGAGTGTTAACAAGAAGGTTGCGTACTTGATGAGGAATTGTTGTTCTAGTGAATCAGATGACGGGTCATTGGGATCACCCTTTTCCGCTACATTATAGCATGTGGTGGCAGAACCAGTGGCTCCAACAGATCCCATTCTCGACTTGATAACCTGAAAAATAATTGATAATAACGTTCAGCGGAGTTTCAGGGAATTTTTTATATTAGACGATGAAAAGGCTAGCCCAAATATGTTTATTCTTGGCAGTGTTAGGAAAGGTCAATCACTCACACGTTCGATGGTTTCTGCATTGACTGCTACAGAAGAAGGCGACTTCTTGTCTTCTTCCCACTCAAGTACGTCATTTTCATCTATCTAAAATAGTACCCATCAAATTGAAGAGATAAGGTCGTGAAGAATATAAGGTTAACGAACATCTTCGTCGGATCCTTTTTCTGTGTAATCCACAGTTGATCGACATGATTTCGGCCCACGAGAGCGTGTCTTCGAACCTTTTTTAGAATTCTGTTGAGTATTCACTTTACGACCTTTCCTCTTGTAACCATCAGAATCTGACGACGAGCCTTCACTTTGTAACCATCAGAATCTGACGACGAGCCTTCACTTTTACTCTCATCTTCCTAAAAATACCTGCATTCAACAAATTTCGGCGAAACCCCCTACCATCACTTGTGGATGACATCACCGAGGATTACACGTCGACCGGCAGTTAATCGCCCGCATTTTTCATCATTTCAGATTAATACAGCTGTAGTGAGCCAGTGGAAATGCTCAAGGACACGTTCGCTAAGCCATGAAGGTCTTATTATCTGCCTATCAAAGACGGCCATACACGGTATGTTGAGGGCAAAGTAGATCGCTCTCCTCTTGTCTGCTGCCTCGAATCGAAATGGTACCAACTTAAGTCAAGACGCCGATCATTGTGCGGGGTTCAGACGAGAAAGACCTAGTTTGAAAACCCTTCCTCACCAAGTAGCAGCAGAGAAGTATTCGGGATTATAATTGCTTTGCACTAACAGGGAAGTGTAGTTTAAGTATTATGGAACTTTGAATGGGGATCCAGATCTCGATAGAAATTCGAAATAGCTTCCTATTATAGAATCGAAGCTACAAAACATATGAGCGAAATTCGCTCGAAGATAAGGTCAATGAAAACCTTTTACCAACTTTTCTACTTTTTCTTCAAGGAAGCGCCTTACTTAAGATGCCATTTACACAAGTCACCTTTATTTGAAGGCACAGTTCACGTTAAAAATGGCCTCTCCTTATGATCTTAAGCTGTGATCCCCAGGACAACCTAAGAACTGAGCCCAAAAACAATCAATATAGGGCATAAT